AAAAGCCACCAACTTTATGAGCTGCTTTTGTACTTTGCCAGTCTGTTAAAACTGTCGACTATTTCAACAAATTTTCTGGCATAATATTTAAGCTCTTTCAGAGATAATATCATGTCACTTTTAACTATGGATAATTTGACTTCTTCTAATATTTTGCACCTCCAACACAACATTAAAGGGTAGGGATAGTGACCAGTCTGTCTTGTTCCTGATTTAAATGGGATTCCTTCTAATTCTTCTCTACGTAGGATAATGTTGGCTATTGGTATGTCATATAGAGCCTTTATTATGTTGAAGCATATTCCTTCCAGTTCTACTCTTGGTAGGAATTTATTTTAAATGATCTTTGTCAAAGGCCTTTTCTACTTCTATAGAATCACCCAAGTGATTCGTGTCCTTAATTCCATTATATTGTTTATTAATGATTCCATTATAGCATAATTTTATATTATCATATTATATTGTATTATATGATGTTATGTTGTATTACTATGTAATATATATTACTATACCATAATTATATTATGATTTATTTATTATGTATGGTAAACCAAGAATGCACCTCTAGGATAAAGCCACCTTGCTTGTCCTGTGATTAATTATCCTAAATTTTCTAAAGTTTTGTCTTTTTCTCTTTAGTATATGGATATATAACTTACTGTATATAGCTCTACCCTGCTGTGGAAGATGACTTAGAAGTTTCTGATGGAAGATCTTTGACTTTCATGAAAAATAGAAGCTTGTTGTAAATAATGAACTTTTTTGAGTTATATGCTTATCAAAGTCTTTCTGCATAGAATATCTACCAGTAACATGATCCTTTACATTTTCAATACTACAGTGTATATTTAGTATTCTCAACTCTATACCCATAATTGAGCATCTCTACATTATAAAAGAGATACAATTTTTTCTTTTAAATATTTAAGGTTTAAACAGCACCAAGAATAGTAATTTTGATACCGAAAACGAAATATTCTTTAATTTTCATATGAGTGACAAATCACCTCAGGGTAAAAAATACCACCCAAACCCAACTGTCAGTGTTTAATGGACAAGACCAGCCTCTGTGGTTGATAACTGGCCTGACCCAAGGATGATCCGCTACTGGGCATGTCTACTGACCTTGAGTTCTCCATCTAAGTGAATTCTGCCAAGGCCTATGAAGGTAGGAGTTTGAGGCCAATCTGAATGACTCCCTGCCTCAAGAAAAGTAAAGAAGCCAAGTGTGGTGACTAATGTTTATAATCCCAGCATTCCACAGGATGAGGCAGGAGGGTTGTTGTTGAGCTCAAGGCCAGCCTGGGCTACAAGAGAGACCTGGCCTCAGAGAGGGTTTCATCTGGAAGCAGGGGGGTAGGGATTGTATGGAGACAGAAGGATAGGTTTACTGGAGGAGGTGTCAGGAAGAAGCTGGGGTCTGCCTGGCCCACACAGAAGAAAGCAATCCACAGCAGTGGAAAGAGCTGTATCACTCTTGTAAGTGACCCAGTCACAAGCCCAGATACCCCTTGCACACACAGTCTTCACAGCCAACTGTGCCTGGAGTGGAGGCTCCAGAGCCAGATGTATCCATGCAAAGAGGTGTCACCTGTTTCCAAAACATCAGGCAGGCCTGGGAGTGGGAGACTCTCCACAGCTAGACCACAGGAAGTGAACCCCAAGCCCAAAGTTGGCAGGGCTGCCCCACCCCCCCGTCTCTAAGGGCCACATGCAGCCCATTCCTAGGCCATGGCTGTATGGAGTTATGATAGTGGGAGGGGCCCAAGAGGCGCTGCATGAGAATTATTGAGTGAAAAAAAAATCTCGTTCTTCCCTCACTCAATGATGATGTAGGGCTCCTCTGTTCCCGGTGTACTGGCTACAGGCAACATGGACATTATCCTCGGAGTTACTTTTCCATACAGCAGCCATGAGCACTTTCATAAAGTTTATATTATTTTCCTGGAGCCCCCAGAATGGACAGCCACACCTAACATCCAAATCCACTCCACTGAGAAAGAAGCCCGGTTTGTACAGTTCAGACTATTTACACAGCCTTTGCTTTCTGCTCCTTTCCAGCAGCTATAGCACTCACAGGGCAGGCCCGGAGATGTTGCTCCTCCAAAACCAGTAAGTGGCAGCTCAGTTTGGATCTACAGTGGTCATCAGGAAAACACAAATGTCTCTCCCCCCTTCTTTTAAAATAAAGCATTATATATGTACATATATACACGCGCGCGTGCGTGCGTGCGTGCGTGCGTGCGTGCGTGCGTGTGTGTGTGCATACACGCGCGCGCGCGTGCGTGCGTGCGTGTGTGTGTGTGTGTGTGTGTGTATGTGTGTGTGTGTGTGTGAAGGTGTGTCTCTGTGTATTTCATACAGAGTTGTCCTAGAACAAATTTGAATGACCAGTCTGTGGACTTCCCAACTCCAGTATCAATACAAGTTTCCATGGGTTGAGGATCAGTGTGGGACCCAGAGGGATGTGGGGACAGTGGTCAGGAAGCAGTTGGAAGCATGGATTGGACACAGAACCTTGGATGGGTGGCCCAACCCTTAGCCCAGGACCTTCAACTTCTCTTTGGGCCCAGGATCTCTCCAGAAAGGCTCTGAGACTGAACAAAATGGAGGTGCCAGACTGGAGGGCAGGGTTGGAGAAAAGGCTACTCAGGGATCCCTTTCCTGGCCCTGGGGAACCAAGGCCTGTGAGAGTGCAGCCAGGGAATCCCTTTCATTCTCAGGTTGCCTTGGTTGTGGTTTTCCATCACAGCAAAAGGAACCCTAACTAGGGCAGTGATAAGATATTCTTTCTCAGTTTTCTTGAGACAACTGTTTTTCTTACCACACATGAATCCAAACCAGTTCAAATCAGATGGCCTCTCCTTAGCCCTGACCCAGGCATGGCTTGGCATGTGTCCAAATGGAACACATTCAAGTTTGGTGGTTGATCGAGAAGAAACGTATTCCATTGTTCAGAAGGGTGCATGTCTAGCTCAGTACAGGTGAGGATCCCAGGTTTCTAAGTACATTACATGCAGGTAGGGTTCTAAGGTTGCCAAGTGAATTGACAACACTGTGTGTGTGTGTGTGTGTGTGTGTGTGTGTGTGTAAGAGTCGTCTCAGGGTCACTAAACTATTCCTGTGCTTATGTGATAATTTGGCAAAGAATATGCTTTCCCTTTTCCTGTGCCCTGAGAACGAGTGAATCCAAATCTGAATTTAACAGGATCATTAGTTTGATAGAGAACATCTCAAGATGGGGAAACATCAGGCTGGTGCTGAGAAACCAGCTGTCAGAGATCAGCATCACTAAAGAGAAACCTCCTGTGCTGTAGTGGGACAATGGGGACAGAGTCCTGAGGACAAGCCCCTGGAGGTGCCACTCTGTGAAGGTCCAAATGCATTTCAAGGAAGAAAACCTAAACTGGAAGGAAGGGTTCCCTGCTCCTCTAAGGCAACTGTCTAGGGAAGTGTCTATCCCAAGGCCAGGACACAGAAGCTGATGCTGCCATGATCCAGAGGAACCTGGATCTGGGTTTGGCAGCAGAACTTGGCATCTGCAAGCATGGAAGATGCAAGATTAGAGATTCAGGAAGGCTGGCTCCATGGTTTCAGAGAGCAGCCAAGGACAAGCAATGTGTGGCAGTGTTGGAACTGCTGTGGGGATGTCCTGAGAGGACACTGTGTTTGGCCACAGGAAGAGGAACTAAAACACTGGAGATCATATCCTGATGCACATAGCAAATGTCATATGCTGAGAACATTGTGAGCCTCCTGAAAGGAACAGCATTCCTCTACAGTAACCCAAGGCACAGAGGTCACCGACATTGCCTCCCCCCAATCATCTTGCATCTAGGGTATTGAGGTTGGTGAGAGGGCTTAGGGACCCAGTACTGCTAGGACCATCAGACAAGTGGTTACTGGCTCCGGATAGGCCATTGTCGGTGCCTGCCTCCCCTTCCAGGATTGGGAAATGCCTAGTGCCCAGCTTAGCAGTGCAGTTGCCTTCATCCATAATTCCAAAACACGTGTTCCATTTGCTGCCCCTGCCTTCCTCACTCTCCCACAATACCCTTCTCCTGTTTCAGTTAAGATTCCCATGCTTTGTGAACCTGACTTTCATGTATCCCAGCAGCAGCTCCTCATCCATACGTGGTTTCCACTCTGCAACAGACACCCGACCGAGTAGGTGAGCAGAGGGTTACCAGATGCCCAGAATCTACAGCAAATCACACAGACAGCAGCAACTCACCAAGAAGTACATCTTCCAGGAAATAACGATGAAGAAAACACCAACCAAATGGGAATGAACAAAGAATAGAGGAAACAGATGCCAACCAAAGGGTGCTTACAAACTAGCCTAGGAAACAGTCACATCGATCCAGAAGGAGTGAAGGGATAGATAGGGACCAGTTCCCACCTGCCCACTGCAAATTCTGGTCTGGGACTAAAATGCTGGTGTTAATCTATTTGCATAGATAAGAACATATGCCAGGGTACAGTATAAAGTCTGATACAAGAACCTGAATGTAGTTTAATAACACATTTCGTTCTGAAATATTACAAATTAAACTCAGTCGGCTGTACCCAATCTAGCCATCTACAGTTAACTCTGCTGCTCAGCACCCTGGGGAGGGTCCCATGAACAAAGGAATGTCTTACCACTCAACATACTCACAATGTTAATGAGTGGGAGGGTGGCCCTGTGCACAAGGGGGAGGAGGCTCAACACTGGAACATTCTTCTTTGACCTAGCGAACTTTCTTTCCAAGCACTTGTCAGTGGCTCAACTCAAATGTATCACTGTCTGAGTGGAGCAGACCCACCTTGGGCTTAAGACACTACAAACATTTCTCAGAAACCTTGACAATACAGAGAATTACCATCCAAACTATTCAGTGTGTATGTGTGTGTGTGTGTGGTGTGACTCTCTTGGGGAATTCTGGGAGCATAGACTTTTACTCGGGGTGAATCTCTGAAACCGGTGTGGAAGAGGTAGGTGCACAATCCACACTTGCTCATTCCATGTGCTGGCCACCCATCCCCACACGGGCATGTTGACCTATGTTGCCCTCGGAAAACTCAAGGAGCATCGTGGCTCTCCAGACAGCATTCCAGGAGGCCTGGCCACCAGGCCATTGCACCTGGGGGACAAAACAAGACAGTGTTACACATAGGGGTACGCTTTGCCAGGCTTTGGGACCCCTGCCTTCCCATTCCCACCTGTGTTCTGCCAGGCCCCATCAGACCCTTACTAGACTTAGGAAAGGGATCCGCCCCCCATACCACCCAGCCCAGTTCTGAATAAAATAACATTCACCCGCAAGTCATTCTGCTCCTCACTGGCCACACAAAAACACTCGATCTAAGAAGAAAGCATGCAAACCCCAGAAGGCATCACCTGGCTGGAAGGCAAGGGCTGACTCTGTTCCCTGGTAGACACAGGTAGCTGCATGGCAGATGAGGCCGACATCACCTCCAGAGAACTGAAAGTGAAGAGCTCTATCCTACACAATTCTACTTCTTGCATCAGAGCAGGTTTTGTCTCTAGGGGACACTGGGTGTTGTGAAGCTCACAGTCCTAAATCTGTGCATCAAAGCTGTTCTGAGTGATTGATGGGAATGTGAAATGTTCAGAAAAGGCACTCTGTGCAGAGTTAGCCAGGAGGGAAACATTCGAACCTCATACAGCTGGTCAGCTGAGGAGACCTTCGCTGATGCTAACCCAGCCCTGGAAGGACAAATCTCACGGTGGATGCACTAAGACAAGGCAACAGAGCAAAGCCAATAAAAGCATAAAAATAGGAAAGCACAAAGCTGGGCATGGAGCCTGTATCTACAATCACAGCCTTCCACAGACTAAGGCGAGAGGACAGCTAGGATTCACAAGCAGCAAGATCTATACAAATAGACCCCATGCCATTTACGAGAAACAAACCGTCCTGCCAAGTGTCTGTTTCTATTTAGTTGGACTCCTACAGAATTCTCAAGGGGTCGTTTCTTTTGAGTTGAAACGTCCCCTCCAGAAAGAAGGATGGAGGCGTATAAGACCCGGGAATTAAACAATGATCACATCTAATAAAGCAGAAACTTTTAAGATTCACAAAGGTCCCTCCCCAAGGTTATAGAAGCAGAAAGTAATTGCTGAAGGCAGGGATTCTGACCAGCTAAGGGGCCTTGAGGAGACTCCCTCTCTGGTGAGGTAAGCTGCCTAGGGATGATGCCGCACTTGTCAAACTGCTTGCAAGAGAGCTCCAGGGTTCCAGCCTGAACGAGGCACCACCCCCATGGGGTGAGTTTTGGTGAGGTTCATCTGCCTTTGGTCATGTCTGCTCTGTATGCAACTCCTTAGGAAACTCATCCATTCACGAAGATGGGCTTTTTTTGTTACTTTGCCATCTGTTGCCTCTCTGGGGTGAGTAGGCATTTATTCCTACCACCACCAGGAATAGCATCACACTCAGAAATGCAACTAATCATTACAGAACAGAAGCACATCCCTGGTCTTGGAGTATCAGAGACCTGGGTGGTAAGCTGAGGAAGGTTCCATCATGACCTGGAAACCTGGTCTTGCTTACCCCGACTATAGACAGGACAAGTGTCCACTAAAACAGGATGAGCGTTAGCAATTCCCTCTCGACCAGAAGACCCCACACAACACTTCCCACCTTCTGGACCTCTCCGCCAACCTGGAGATTTTTGACATCTTTTCTCCACCCACTCCATACACTGCCCGTATCTGCAGTATGCAACTAGAGCAGGCATGACCAAAGGCAGATGAACCTCACCAAAACCTTGGGCAACTTCTCTCAATCACAGAGGCCTGGACCACACTGGACAGTATGCATCTTTCTGTCTGAAGTCCCTTGAGGCCTTGGGCATTATCTCTACCACAGGACCCTCTGCTGCACCATACACCCAAGTCACTGCCGTCTTCCCAGAAGGCCTTGTCATCTTTCTTAACTGCCTATGCCTTGGCATCTATTAGGCTTTTCAAGCCCTTTCAAAACAACAATTTGGAACATTAAAATGTAAAACCATGATGCTTCTCAGAATCCAACAATCTTTAATCTTTGTCTTTGGAACAAATATGAGGAAGATGGTGGTAGAGACAAGAGACCTCCAGCTGATGACAAGCTGATGACTATCGGAGGTGTAGGATGCCCACGGATGTGCCTATGTTTAGTGTGTTCATTTATTAAGAAGGAGTGCTCAGGTTTCTAGAAACACACATAAGGAAAGATACTGATCATCAAACTCTGAGATAGTGAGTCTGTAAACTAAGCCCTAGGCTATCTTGTGACCCACAGAAAGCCCAGGACGCCTCAGGCTTACCTCTGGAGATGATGAAGTTTACAGTCTGGGGTGGAAGCTCCCTGCCCACTCCTTGGTCCTGGGCCCTCCTCTGGGTACAGGCTCTGAGGACGACTACCAGGCAGGCCAGTAAATCCTGCAGATAAAGAAATCCCGAAAACCACAGGTGAAAGGAAGGCTCACAGCACATGTGTGGCACAGCCAGTGTGCCCAACACACAGAGTGCACTGTAAGAAACCAGTTCACAAGCCCTGAGACTCAGCCTCCTTCCCAAGAGAAGGATGGATAGATCCATCAGCACTACCACCTATCAGACCTCTAGAGCCAAAGTCATACTCTGTTTCTCTTGACAGTAGGCCAGGCTTTGCCACTGTGGGCTTCACACCTGTCTGATGCCAGTCAGTCTATCACACACAGCCACCCCCAACTGATCAGGACATGCAACTTGCTCTTCAGCCTTCAGGCACATGCCTGCTTCAGTTATCTCAGGTTTCACTGAGATTTTTCTGGAGGTGGAAGCTTTTGCTACCTCACTCTCACCTTTTCCTTTCTCTACACCTTGGTTACAGAGCATCTTGGAAGATGTTTGACTCCCTTGCTCATATTGTAAATAGATTCTTTTCTCACACAATATATCATGATCACAGTTTCCCCTCCCTCCACCTCTCCCCATTCATCCCTATCTCTCCTTGTATCCAAGTCCATTCTCTTTCTGTCCCTCATTAGAAGAGGACAGGCTTCTAGGTGTTAACAACCAAACATGACACAATAAAATATAATAAGACAGAGTAAGAACCGTCACATCAAATTGAGCAAGGCCAAGTAACAGAAGGAAAAGAGTCCTAAGAGCAAGCACAGAGACCCACTCCTTCACGGATTCAAGAGTCCTATAACGATACTAAACTGAAAGCTATAATATACACACAGATAGCCTGGTGCAGACCCGAAAGCCCTGTTCTTGCTGCTCCAGTCTCTGTGAGTTCATATGAGCTTTGCTCAATTGATTTAGAGGGCCTTGTTGCCTTGGTTTCCTCCATCGCCACTGGCTCTTGCAGTCTTTCAGCCTCATCTTCCCTGAGGTTCTCTGAGGATTTGATGGAGACTTCTCGTTTAGAGCTATGTGTTCCAAGCTCTCTCTCTCTCTCTCTCTCTCGTGTGTGTGTGTGTGTGTAATATCTGGTTGTGAGTTTCTGTATTTCTTCCTGTCTGTGGCAGGTGAAAGGTAGGATTCATGCTGCCCTGAATCCATGTGGGAGCACAGCCAGCACTAACATAGCCTGGTCTCAGGCCAGAACAAAGCACCTGCAGCAAGGTTTGCTCTAGCCTCCTGCCTAACCACCACAGTGCTCACCTACCATAGTGGCTAGCTGCTCAGGACCTCCTGAGATCAAAGAGCCCATTCTGGCTACCTCCTATGGGCTTCTACAACTGTTTCTGCTCAGTCCTCATTGCTGAACTTGAAACACTCCATTCTTAATAAATGGAGTAAAGCTGCAGAACCAAGGCTGACACTTACAAACGTACCTCCCCCCATAGAGAGAGAGATAAGAGAGAGGAAGCAGAGAGAGGGGGAAGGTGGGATAGATATAAGGAGGGAGGGAGATGGAGAGGAAGAGGGAGAGATTTTTAACATGTGGACCTTGTGGAGCTTTAAATGAGATAGTCTCCCATAGTCCAGGCATTTGAAAACTTTGTCCCAATTTGGTGGTGCTTTTGCATGTGCTAGGGGGTATGGAATCTTAAGGTGCTGGAGGCTTGCTGGAGTAAGGGTATTCCTGGGGTGGCCTTTGAGAGTTTATTGCCTTGTCCAACTGCTAGCCCACCTTCCACTAGCCCTGCATGCAAGTGCAAAGGTGATCAGCCACTTCGTGCTCTGACCAAGAGAACAAAAGTTGCAATGCAAGGAGCACTGGTACCAACTGGGCTGTGGGAAGGCAAGTAAGGGAGGACTTGAGATGAATGCTCAACCCCAGACCTGAGAAGTACTCATCTGACCAAAACTGGAATAAAAAGCGCCCCCCCCCAGTGAGTTTTCAAATGGCAGGCTTGAAATACTGGAACGTATTAAGAACATAAATAAAAGTAGGCAATATACAACTTAAAAAAAAAAGAAGCCATTAGAAACTGCAAGAAATAAAAAGATGCATTATGCTCCCAGAATGTTAAGAAACACAGGCAAACCCACTGGTCTTGCAAGGTGGAAACTTGCACATACAAATGCAACAGTGATAACCGAGAAACAAACACATGGCATTTCTACCCTGGAGTGACAGGTGCAGGGCACCTAGGAGCATGTCTAAGGATCATGCCTTCCTGCATTGCACAGGTACTCACAGGTAATGTAGGAAAGTTGGGGGTGGTGACATGTGCGTGTATATATTGCCTCCCATTTTCACTCTCTCCTAACTGCCTTGCTTTTTTTTTCATCCATGGTGTTTTTTTTATTTTTCCCATGAGATACGTACACATGAGAAATAATCTGGAATATTTGTGGCAAGAATCTACTCTGACTAGAGTGGTTCGGGGTTTCCATGACCCCAGTTCAGATTCAAACAGGTGGTGGCCACCCTAACAGAGCACCTGAGGACCTGAGTAGTTGTCTGAATATCCCAGTCTCTGTGAGGTGGACTCACCTGCATGCCTGGGTCCCCTGAGGGCAGCCATGGCCATGGCCATGGGCGCGACTGCAGGATCCATTCCAGAGTCAAGCTGTTGTCTACAGCCCAGTTGCTCCATTGGGAGGAAAATTTCCTTGAAGGACGGCAGCATAAGGGGCATCATCCAAGACTCAGGGGCAGCCACAGAGGAATCAACCATGGGGCTGACACTAGCCAGAGGGCAGAGGCCAGGAGTGAGGCCCATGGATGTGAGGCCAGCAGAATGGTGACCTGGCCACTCCTGGTAACTCTCATATCCGTATAGTGACCTGGGGAATATAACCAAACAATGTGCTTTGGTGGGTAGAGGCCAGGGTGTAGTGGGTGGATGTTGGCGTGGACTTCAGCCAGCGTTGACAATATGGGCAAGAGCCAATGAAGCTGTGGAAGGCTGCATATGACTACCGCTAATCACCCTGCTTGCTCTTCCCTGGGTTTGTCAAGGACTGGCCTCTGGCCTGGAGTCACAGACCCTTAAAAGTGTCTATTGCATAGAACCAGAAAACAGAAAATGTTTTGCATGACCCTACTATCAAAGAAATAAAGGGCGGTTACTGTTAAAGGCATTCATGAATTAGGCAGAAGCTGACAAAAGTTTAATGAGTACACTCATTCAGGGCTAATGCACCTCAAACATGATCAGAGCTTTTGCTAAACGTCCTCTCAACCTCTGCTATAGCCTGACTGGCACGTACTGTCTCATCCCCATGTCACATGCACCTGCCTGGGGTCACGCACCTGGGTACTGTCCAGCCTGGCAATGACCCCATGACTAACCAGCAAGGGACTGCATGCAGAAGGCTCATGTCTAGCCACAGGGGAGCAGAGTGCATGGGGAGTCCCAGACAGTGTGGTACATACAGGGTGCTGCTCACTCCATGAAATAAAAACCAACCAATACTCAGCAAAAAGAAAACAAAAGCAATCTACTATGTCAGGGCCCAGCACAGGCAGCCCTGGAGTTAAGGGTAAATTATACTCTACTCTGCCCTCAGAGGAGGGGACTAAAGAGGAAACATGCCTTGTGGCCTGAAGGAATGACACTACCTGAAAGCCAGTGGCTGTGAAGTTTTGTAGTCTCCAGAAAAGCTCGAGGCTGGGTACTGTGGCCCCTGAGATCTTGGAGATATCTCGGAGGACTGTAGAGTCCAACTTCCTTCACCTCTGACTGAAAAGCAGAACAGGACAGGGTGCATTAGAGCCCACCTCCTGCCCAGCAGAGAGCAGCTCCACAGACTGGAAGCAGAAGCGGACTTTTTAGTCATCCCAATATTCTAATCCCTTGGTGTGACTTCAGTGCAAACAAAGAGTTCCAAGCCTGCAGATTAATTCACTTCCTGAATCTACTCATCGTCCTTCCTGAGGGCTATGTCCAGACCACACAGCCATGCTGGGGTCACTTCTCAGCCAGCAAGATCTTGTCAGCAATCAACCCTAAGATGCCCTTGGGGTACTCACCTGACCCTGGAGACACAGCCACAGACTTGTGATGGTATCCTGAGAGCTGGAGTGGCTGAGGACCACTCTCCTTTGCACTGGAGACTTCTGATGAGGCCTCCTGGGCTCTTGGCATGTGCAGGAGAAGAGCCCTCTGACGCCTCCGGTAATTGGCAAACCAGTTGTACACCTGCTCAGTAGTCAAGCCGGTCTCCAAAGCCAGTTTCTCCTGATCCCCACCCCCCAAAGACAATGATAATTGAAGTATAAGGGGACACCGAGGTGGCTCAGATGGCTCATGTCTACATAGGAAACAGAGCACTGCCCAGTACAACCCCTGCATAGATGCCAGAGATGGTGATCGATGGTGAACTGGTGCAGTGACGAACAGTTTGTCTCCTGAGCTCATGCTGGAGATGAGAGAGCCATACACACATGCCCCACCTCCTGAACCCACTCCCTGGGCCAGCTGATGATGCTCTGAGCAGCCAAGTCCTTAAAACAGGAAAGGGGCCATGAACCCCTGGATCAGTGTCTGCACTGTCCCCAAGCAGGAGCCACTTTCTCTGAACCTCTGTGCCTTTCAAAACTTTGGTGGTCACACAGCAGAGGACCAAGGAGCCTCTGGGAACTGACCAGACTGACAACGTGGCAGCCCCACATGAGAAAATCAAACCTTGTAGGAGAGCTGAGAAGAGGTGGGGACCAACAGCACCCTGGGAGGGGCCTGGAGAGCCCGGCAAGCACAGAAGGAGACACAGACTGCTAAAGTAGTTACATAGTAGAGGGAGAGCTCGCTAAAATTTGGGGGACCTAGACAGGAGGAAACAAGGGGAAGGTGGAAGGAAGATCAGCCCAGAGGAGGAGGGAAGAGCTGCGTGATAAAGAGAGAAGAGTTATTCAGGAGATGGTGGGGGAGACCCAGTTATTGGGTGGCAGAAGGCTCAGGAATAGTAGCAGAGAAGCCACCCTGTGTGGGCTGTTGTCCTTACCAGGTGGGCCTTCTTGGGATAAGCACCCACACTTGTAGCAAAGTCTTGCAGATGGTAGCGAACCTCTGGGAGGAAGTTCCGGCTCTTTGGGCCCTCAGGGCAGATGTTAGGGGGTGGTGGATTCCTAGATAAACAGGACCAGGAGGAGCCATAGAACACAGGTTCCATGGGCTTAGGGCTTGGCCCTTCACAGGGAAGGAGTTCTGAGAATCATTCTCCAGCCCACCCCTGCATCCAGTCCTGGTCACCTCAGGTGGCCTGATCCCTACTTTCTGGGATGCTGCCCAGTGGTCCACCACACACTGCAGCTACCCAGGGAGCGAGCAAGACCCCGCCTTCACAGAGCCCAATGCAGTACACTGATTCCCCCTACTTCCCAGCTTACAGCAAGCTTATTAAGCCTTTCACCACCAGCAGCATCTCTTCATCAGGTCAGCCCCACAAGCTGACCGAACCGTGAATCTCTCACCTTACACATGGATCCTTCTAGCTGCCCCTCCTTCCTTGTCTGTGATAGCACAACTTCTCAGAGTATAAGCAAGATCATGGCCCCAGCACACCATATATACTGCCACTGGCCTCCTCATGGATGGTCTCACTCATGCCTGCACTTAGCTTCTCAGCCCCTTATCTTCTCCATTCCCTTCCTAATGCCTCTCTTCCCCTGTAATGCCTCATGTTGGGAAGCCCCTGCACCATGCAGGAAACACACAGGTGTTTCTCCCTCTCCTCTCTACACTGCACTGGGATTTCAGGGTCACTGAAAGGGACCCCTGGTGGTGCCATTCTTCTCTTGTGTTTAGGCCCATCTTTCCTGCTGTATATTTGAATTTCTTCATATGGACACATGGCATGAATGAAAAATATCTCTCTGGGGGAACGGGTGAAATCCAGGTATTTGGCATGCCTGTACTTCCCAAAGTCTTGTGCATAGATGTATTTCCCAAGAACACCTCATCTAACACATCCCAACTGTAATCCACTTGGGATGCCAGAGCCTTCTCCAACCCAAACAGACCCAGACAGCCCCAGAACAAAGGGCCCTGATCCTGACAGTTTCTACTTAGCAGAGAGCTGCTCCTGCCTAGACTTCAGTCCTGGGCCACAGCTGGCCTCCAAGACACTACAGAACTGGCCAGCCTATTTACAACATAGACCATGTTCTGGCCACTGCCCACATACTGCTGACACTGACTGTCTCCCTGGAAGCCACTGGAAGGGACAGGTGAATCATGCCATCACCTTTTCCTATGGCCACAGGCTGAGGACAGATGTATACTTGTGAAGGGCTGAAGACAAACTCTCTGAGACATCTGCTATCTGTTCAGGACACCAGGTACCTCTCAATCCCTGCTTCTGACCTGGCCGTCTTCCTGCCTAGCAACTGTACCTTTGTGGTTTCTTAAGTAGCTCTGGCCAGTTCAACCGTGGTGAGCATGGCTCTAGCAGGCCTTGCTCTTCTCTCCCACTCCCTCAGCCTGACTAAAAACCATTAGGTTACATTCCTAAAGCTAGCCACAAATTTCTATTTCCTTATTTGACAACGTCCTCCTCCTGAGGCTGACTAACCAAGGTCCAGCTACCAAAATGTAAAACTCAAGTGACCAAAACTCCATTTGACTAATCTTATTAACATGTCAAAGTGATAAGTGGAATGTTAGTGCCCCCCAATAACCTCACAGGGTGTGGCACCACCAGGAGTAGGTTTTGAAGTAGGTGTGACTTTGTTGGAGGAAATGTGTACTATCGGGGCAGCTTTGAGGTCTCCTATGCTCAGGCTGTGCCTATTTCAGTTCAATTCTGTTGCCTTTGGATCAAAATGGAGACCTCTCAGCTCTTCTCCAGCACCAAGTCTGCCTCCACAACACTATGTCCCACCATAATGAAAATGGACTGAACTTCTGAAATGTAAGCCCCCCAATTAAATGCTTTCATTTATTAGACTTGCTGTGGTCATAGTGCCTCTTCACAGCAACAGAAACCCTAACTAAGAAGTTTTTACCAGGTCTGGGGTGTTGCTGTGATTGGTCCTAAGATGCTTTTGTTTGAAGGAACATGGACCTTGGGACTGTGCATTGGAAAAGCAGTTAAACGCTTTAAGTGCTGCTTCATGGGCCATCCTAGGATGAACATGGAAGACAGTGGTGCTGAATGTCACTTGACTGTGGGTGCAGAATGTGACTTGAACTGGATCAACACGTTTCAGAGAAGAATGTCAGTATGTGGCCTAGAGACCAGTCTTGTGATATTTTGGTGAAGAACGTGGCTGTTTTTTGCAGTTGCCTGAAAAGGGCACTGAAGTGAAGAGTTTTTCATTAATTCTACTAGCAGAGGAAACTTCAGAACAGACTAGTATAGACTCTTTCATGTGGTTAATAGTGTTAACTCCAGTGAGGCATTATAATGCAAATGATCAGGTTGAGCAAGGAAAAGTATGAAATGTGCACTTTGAGGAGGAAAGGAGCACCAGGAAACAGAATGGAGTGATGTCCTGTGTTCAAGGATATAAACGGACTAAGAAATGGAATACAAGGTGTGCTGACCCAGCTGAGATTCCAATCTGTGAAAGGGAATTAAAGAAAATCTTAGCAGTGTGGAGGTGCACATTTTTAAAGCCAGCACTGCCGAGGCAGAGGCAAGTAAATCTCTGGGTTTAGGGCCAGCCTGCTCTATAGATTCAGTTCCAGGACAGCCAAGCTTAGGCAGTGAAGAAAAACATCAAAACCAGAAAAGCAGGTGAAGATGTTAACTGATTGACGGGGCCATGTTCCACACACAGCAAGCAGCAGATGCTGGCAGCTTCAGTGACATGGTTCTGGATTTAGATTCAAGGACAGAAAAAAAGGGAGTTATGTAATTTGCCTCTGTGCATAAGAAACCTGCTGAGGACATGCATGCATCAGGGGTAACCCTGAATGGAATCCTAGAGAGGCTGTTTGTGAAGCTGTGATGCTGAAGTCTGGAATGCCCTGGAGGCCCCAAGATGTTGAAGACGCCAGAGCCCTAGGATAGCCGCTGAGGACAGCTGCTAAGAGGGAGTGGAACCAGCCCAAGAGAAGGAAGTGGGTTGCAGTCAAGAAAGCTGGAAGAAATTAGAGATGTGACGAGTGTTTTGACATTAGGTGTGGAGATACAGAAGTTGGAATTTGCCCAGATGGTGTCAGTCTTGCTTTGGTCCAGCATTTCCTCACTATGCTCCCTTCCCTACATTTTGGAATAGTAATGTATATCCTGTGCCATTATATGTTGGAAGTATGTTGTCTATTTTGGAGTTTGATGGGAATGTTTGACATTGTGCAATCTGAATTATGATATACTTACAAGGTTATGGGGCCCAGGATGTGGAATGTGGTAGTATGAATGCAGGTGGCCCCTGTTAGTTCACAGCAAGTGGCACTATTAAGAGGTGTGGCCTTGTTGTCAGAAGTGTGACCCTTTGGGAGTGGGCTTTAAGGTCTCCTATTCCCAAGCTACACTTATCTCAGTTCACTTCCTGTTGCCTGTGGATCCAGATATAGAATTCTCAGCTCCTTCTGCAGCCCCATGTCCGCCCACATGCGGCCATGTCCTGCCATGGTGATAATGAACTGAACCCCCACCCAATTAAAAGTATTCATAAGAGTTGCTGTGGTCATGGTGTGTCTTCACAGCAGTAGAAACCCTATCTAAGACACCCAGTAAAATGAAACACCTCATCCTAATAGGGGGCTTCCCCAAGTACCTTTACAAACTGCCATTTTCCTATGTGCCTTGTCTGTCTCCCCTCTATCCAGAGGTGGTCCTCTGTCCCTCCAGGACAAATGCCCCTGCCTCTTTCCCTTATTCCCTTTCCCTTGAACTCTATACCCCCATCTTTTTCTCTTATTCTCTTTTCCTCTGTCCCTCTGGGGCAAATAAATCTCCTTTAAACTGAGAAGTTGAACTTGGGGTATCTTCAACCAACTTTAAAATTCCCTACAGTTTCTCCACTGTCATCCAAGTCCTGGCCAAGCTTGCACAGATGACTTGGTCAAAAGAACCTCCCCACACCCCAAAACATAGACCTATTCTCTCAGTCATCTTACTGTCTCAATAACCACACATGAAGAACTCCAATCTATTTCTTCTCTATTGACCCCTGCCTTTATCCATTGGCCAAGAGTAAGAGATTGAGACTTTGCCACTACCCAAAACCTCCAAGCACCTAGCACTGAGGGAACAGTTCACAAACACAGGGACAAGATCCTATGACTGCTTATCTGTAGTCTGCTGGACTATGAGCCTTGGGGTGGCATGATCATATCCATTGTCTCAAGGCTGATTCCTTACTGAGATTCTGAGGACCTGTCTCTCACTGTCAAAATTTGGTATGCTCTCTGGTCAAAGGGAAAAATAAAACCTCTTCTTTCTGCAGTGAGTGGACCCTGTGACTCAGGAAGCCTCTAATCCTCTGAGCATCATAGCTCAGTCCTCTTTCTCAAGTGAGATGCCCAGGATGAAGAACAAAGGTTCCACAGTCTCAGTGTCTAGGGAACCCTAGCCTTGTATCTCCCACACAAAACCTCAGTCATGTGACCTGGTTGTTCCACACTAGCTTTCTCATCTATAAATGATGAAGGTGAGACTAATATCGATGACTTTATCAACCAGCAGCCCCCAGGGTCTAGACTGATGCCTAGACATAAGGATTAGATGGTGTGAGAAACAGTTAAGCACAACTCAGTTGTCCTTCACACTCACTGTTCCTATTCGTTCCTTGTCCATTGATGATTGGAAATAGAGACAGCCAGGATGCCAGTTGCATACACACATCTTCTTCTAGCCACCACATGACAGGGGTCAGGTGGAGCTGTGACTTGGTGATGGGCACACCAGGGTCTGACAAACACTGAAGTCATGACATTCATTATATAGTAATAAATACTGGTAAAGTGACTTCCTGCACTTGTTTCCTCAGCCCCTTGGGGTTTGGAAGGCACATGCCAACCCTGCAAGGCACATGGAGTCAGGACACAGGACAATCAGTAGGTACCTCTTCCTGCAGCGAAACCTCTGCCCTGGGTTCAGCTTGGTGACACTCAGCCTCCTCGTGGTCAGGTGGTAGTGGATGTCATTCCAGAGTTCTACCAGCTCCTGGCTGCCTCCTGGCACCTGACACCCCTGTAGGAAAAGCTTGATGAAACCCCCTCAATCCATACACACTGGAGTGTGTGGGAATTGGACGTGTACACCAACCCAGCCTATGCTAAAGACAATCACTGGGATCTGAACCCACAGGTCCAGAAACCACCCATGTCAGCCAAACATGCAAGCTCTTCAATCCCAGAAGGCATGGGAAGGTTCCATGCTTGGCCAGCCAGTAAGCACACACGCCTGCCAGACATCTCATGCCTGTCATGCATAGATCAGAGAGGCCTATTTCCCAACCTTAAACCCCTCAATCCTCCAAAGAACTAAGTAAGCCCATCGCCCCCCTCAACCACACAAATACAGAGAACAAGGTATGTCACCTTCATGATACCTTCTTCTCCTTATCTTGCTCTGGCAAGCACTCCCTCCATGAGTTTTAAATCCCACTCCAGGGTTTCTAATTGCCAATGCCACTAACTGCCATTCTGTAGTCACCTCAGCTGAGCCATGTACTCCCTGTCTGTTCACTACGTTCTTTCTGAGTGGTTTTGTGTTATCATTTTGACATAGGCTGTCCTGCAACTCGCCATTGTCTTTCCTCGCCTCCTGAGTGTTGAGCTCACACCTACAGCCATCTGTGTTAAGCTTCAGGTCAGGTGTCCATACCAAATGTGTCACCGAGTCTGTCGTGTCAGTTTAAAACATTCCATCCTCGGGAGAGCTCCTTAAGCAGGACAGTTCCCAACTACTAAGAAATAGCTGCAAGGACTCTCTGAAACCCACCAGATTCCCTGGGGCCCACCCTGCAGGAGGAAGCAGAGCCCGACTGCAAAGAAGCCCTGAGACACAGTAGAGCCCAGATACAAAGAACAACACTCTTAGCTAAGCAAAGCTGCAAAAAAGCCTGCGGCCAGACCAACCGCCTGGGAGGAGAATAGAGTCAAGTTTCCTGGAAGATGTTCAGACCACCAAAGGCACCTGGAACAGACACCCTCTAACCAGCAGAGTTGTCAGTGGGGTGGACCTTGGTGATGCACCTGTCTTTGTGGGGGTTCGCACCTGCAAGTAATCCCTGTCCACATTTTCCTGTAAGGAACGTCTACAAAATTCTTTGGTTCACCAAGATGGATTCCAAGTAGTATCCATACTTTGGTCTGTCATCGACTCCCTTTCTTGGGTGAGTAAATGAGTTTGCTTCACCTCCCTAGGGGGAACAAAACTTGGTTTCAAACAACCTAAGTGGAGCTCAAACAGAGATCTGACAGAGCCAAAGGATAGTTGGGAGGAGTGTGTACATGAATCTCCTATGCAGTCAAGCCATGCAACTGAGGCAGCAAAGCCTGAGGGGTGAGTATCTACAAAGCAAATTTCTTTAAGATTCATTTGTTTAATATATACACAGTGTCCAGCCTGTATGTGTGCCTGCAAGCCAGAAGAGGGCACCAGATCTCATTACTGATGGTTGGGAGCCACCATGTGGTTCCTGGGAATTGAACTCAGAAGCTCTGTGAGAGCAGCCAGTACTCTTAATTGCTAAGCCATCTCTCTAGCCACACACAAAGGAAATTTCTATACAGTCGTCCATTCCTGTGTCTCGGGTGTAGTGTGCCTTTGGGATCTGAAAACAGTTTGCATGGTTTTGGTGTGGGCAGTGAGACATACAACTAAGGCTACATCATCTGGGTTAAGAGAGTATGTGAGAGGAGTACCAGGAGGGTATTTCTGCATGTGTGGTAGGGGTTAGTATGCCTCATGGAAGAGTGGGGTTCAAAACACGAATATGGAGAAGTGCTGGAAACACTTAAATGCTTAGAGGAAATTTTGCAATGTTTGAGATTGGTGCACAAGAGTGGAGACGGTTAGCAAGCTGCAGAGTCTGCCTGACTGCTGTGTGCAGCAGAAATGCATCTGAAGCTGAGATGGCAGCCAAGCAGAAACTCATTTGTGTAAAGGGGGAATGGCAGCAGGAAAGACAGATGCTCATAGCCTCCTCAGATATACTTGCTGATTTGGCAATTAAACTGAATAAAAGGAAGACAGGGAGATGGTAAAAGCAGTAGAAGATACTCCTCAAGTCCTACCTTTAGTATAAAAGAGGGAGAATCTGTAATCCAGAATGCAGATAGGGCATGAACAATGGTCCATTGCAAAAGTGAGTGTGTTCAGAAAATACTCAGCCCTTGAACTGCTGGAATGAGGGAAGCCTTTTAAGTAAGTGATGGAACAGCCCATCCAGCCTGGCTTGTGAGGCCATGGAACATGGGAGTGGATGGAATCAGTCTGATTGCCCTAGAAGCAGGAAAACTGAATAATATAACTAGCCATACCTCCTTAAGGGAAAGGCTGCACAATGTGAGACCTTATGAAAGAAAATATCCGTGATGGCCCGGCATAGCAAAGCCATTAGGAATACCTAGTTATCTCCTTCTGAAGTCTCCACAACTAGCAGGGGCTAGAGGACACAGAGGGGGGAGGGCACAGATGGTATTGAGGAAACCCACAAGCAAAGAGAGCTGTGTTTGAAGCCAGATTCACCGGGCCAGATAGAACCATGTTCACAAAAGAGTTAAGAAAAAGGCTGACCCAGCAGGGACCTTGAGGCCACTGGTATGGAGATTTGGCAGCTTTGGTGATCCCCTTGTTTGGGGAAGATCTTTATAAAGTGGGGAAGGCTTTGGCAGACAGATCCCAGTAACTTAGACCTGCAGTTAAAGGGTGACTGTGAAGTAAAAGAGCAACCTAGAGGAGATAAGAAAACGGTAGTGCAGAGGAAAAGGTGTATCTGGGTTCCTCAAGACAAATGTGGCTGGGTTTGATTTGGACTGGAGTTCCTATGGAAAGGATTGAGGAAAAACCCAAATTGTGTGCTCTGCAGCCCCTGGAAGTCTTTAAAGCCCAAGCAGCAGTTCACATAGGCCACCCACGACAGAACAAGACAAGTGAAGATGATCAAGTCTGGCCCATGGGTTGGCAACTATGCCCCCAGACTAGCAAGTGTCAATTTCACTCAATAAAAAGGAGATGCTGATGGTGGAGATGGTCTGCCCAGTAGTGAACTCTGTGTGCTTATGCCACAAATACAATGTTAGAATCAGCCTCAACTCATGACCACTGGTAAAGCTACTCAGAACAAGTGACTGTTTCCGTGGCATGGGGACCTATTTCTTAGCCTTAGGAGGACGTCTATAATGAGGTACCTCCTCCAAGACTCAGGGATCATTGCAGAAGAGGGAGAGAGAAAAAATGGAAGAGCCACAGCAAAGGGTAGAGTGTTGTGTAACAGTTGCCTCCTAGACTGAAACATCCACCCTGAGGGGAGCTCCTTAAACAGGGCGGTAAACAAATAACAAACAGTGGTTTCAAGAATTCACTCTGCCCCTGCCCTCAGGGTAAACGGAGCAGAGCTGACAAGTACAAATGCACAGAGGACTCTGAGATTTCAAACAAGCTGGGCTTTGCTGTTACCCTTCATTTGGTCTACTGTGGGTTCCCCGTCCCGGGTGACTAACAAGTGTGTTCTCTCACCTCCAAAAAAGTTTTGTCACACAAATATGTTTCAAGGGCACCTGTGCTCAGCATTTCTCACCTGATCTCCACCAAGGATTTTCTAAAATGGGAGTTGCCTAGGTTACTTGCTTCAGTCAGAAAGGGCCATCCTGCCTCAGCTCATGACAACATGGCTATGGTGGAGGCTGCTGTGTCCCCACTTCTCTCTGCACCGCCCACCATACCTTTCTCATACCTTTAGAATCTGGAGGGCTAAAAGCCACTGCTCTTTCTGGATCAGGACCTGGGTACACACCAGGGCCACCTCTTCATTGCTTAGCAGCTCCCAACAATGCTGGCTCTCCAGAATGGTTTCCACCAGATGTATCATCTGAGCAGGGTTCTGCTGGAAGTCCTGACACAGCTTGCCTGCGAGGATCACCAGGTCTGGTGGCAGAGGCTGAGCGTCCCCTTGCTCCCTCAGCAGCCTGAGGAAGTTCTGCATCTTGCAGGAGCAGCTCTGCCAATAGGGAATATTCAGAGTAACACTGATACCAACCGTGTTCTAAGCATGTGTCTTCAGACCAATACCAGAAGTCAGGTGACATGAGAGCCTCAGGCTACATACACCACTTCCAAGGTAGGGAAACTCACCTGAGGAAAGGTATGGTGGTCTCCCACATCCTTCTTCTAAATCCCCCAAATAGTGTGTCCTCAAGGAAGCAGCTGTGCACAGACAACTGAAAAGGCACCCTGCAACCACCTAGTCCCTCCCTTCTGAACCTTAACTCTTTCCCAAGGCGTGAGCCTTCCTTGTCTTTTCCCTTCTTATCATCCAGGCTTTTGGGAAGGCTATGATAATGTTTCCATTTGCTCTTTGCTGTGGCATCTGTGGGTGCCCCGGAGTCCCTGGATTCTGCCCCATGGGTGACAAGTCATTCACCTAACCAGGGGCAGGTGCTCTTTTCACAGAGCTAGGGACACAGATTTCCAGGACAAAATGCTGAGAGGAGAAAATGCTAGGGGAGAAATAAGTGAGTTCCCAGTTCCCACCTTAGCGAATTGGTGAGGCATGTTGATGACAGATTTTCAGGAGTGAAACCTAATATCCCTGATCCCATTTTTTTGGAATATACCCCAAAAGTGAGGCTGAGGACAGGTCGCCTGTGGGGAGCCCAGCCTGTGACACCTGCTAACAAGAGCCTCCCCGAGCAGGGTTGATTCCCTCACTCCCTGCGGTCTACTCCATGTGCCTCACCAGCCCTCCACAGAAGGCTCAGGCTCTCACAGATAGGGAACAAGTCTGTTTCAGGCCAAGGTTTCATTTATTACCGCAACCCCCTGCTGGGTCAGGGACAGGCTCAGTGCCTCATGAGACCCTTATCTGAGGAAGAAAGGGGCTCCAACTGAAACCTCACCCAGACTGGAACCAGAGGGCCAGCCCATGATGCCAGGTACCTTTCCAAAACGCTGTTCCTTCAGAGGAAGACGCTGGCAAACGCTCGAGTCCAAACAGGGGATGCAGACCTAGAGAGGCACAGCAGTCAGAGACACAGCACTTGTGACTTTCAGAACACCGCCACCCCACATGCCCTCCTGAGGCGCCTCCCCACAACACTGCCCCACCTATCTTCTTCCTGCAACTCCTCCCTGAGACCCCCTTCAGACTTTTGTTACTCCTACAGCTATCTCCACTGATCTGCAAGCTATCGCTACAAAGTATCGAAGCTTCAGACTCTGCTGGCCCACACCAGAGGCCCCTGCAAAGAAAGAGTGGGGAGTGGCTGCAAGATGCAAAAACACCTTCTTATTAGCATGGTGAAGGTGAAGTTGGTCCAGGACACAACCTGGAGTATCCTCCTGGTGCCTGTACTTGAAGCAAAGCTGGGGTCCCCGTCCTCCTTGACTTGTCCCTGGCCATATGGGACTGTGGGTGCTTCTGACACAAACCCTGACAACTGGCATGTTGGGGGCCCTGGCAGGGCTGTAACAGAGCCCATTCTAGGATTCTTCATGTGCACCGAGGGTAGAAATTCAACTTCTATGGCTGTGAAATGCAGGGAGCTTAGGGTTCTGGGCAAACTGTCGCCTGGCACTCTTTTTAAGACCAGACTAAACCTGATGGGAGATAAGCAGATTTCTGATAGTCTGACAAGTACACAAATGGTATTCAAAAGTCCGGAGAAGAAAAATGACCTGTCCAGTGCCCTGGAGATCCCGGCCCAGGCACGCTATAGGTTCACAACCCCGTGAGACTCTCCTTAACCCATGGTGTATATTTAAACATGCTTAATATCATCCTGAGGGCAGGATCCCAGTGACTAGAGATCCTAATCAGGACACTGGGCCATGCCATATGCTACACCCAAATGGATGAGAGTTGAACCCATTTGGAATTTGTGTGTACAGCACATTAAACCACATTGCCCTTGGAGAAACATAATTTGTTTTGTTTTGTTGTTGTTGTTTTGTTTTATTTTTCTGAATTGCTAGAGTTTGGATTTGGGTTTTTTGAGACAGTGCCTCATTGTAGACCTGGCTGGCCCTCACCTCTCTATATAGACAAGGATAACTTTGAACTCACTATTTAGACAGGATAACCTGGAGCTCTCATGCTCCTGCCTGTGTTTCCCAGTTGCTGGGAATACAGTGGAGGAATGCTCCATCGGTGTTGTCTATTTTTTAAGAATATATGCATCACATGCTATACCTTTTCTTTCTACATTGGACAGAACTCTAATCAATAGAGCTTCTTAAGTTTCCTTTAGGTGTGTGGGTATGTGTCTGTCTGTCATGTGGGTACACATGCTGCTGTGTGTTTGAAGGTCAGGGGACAAGCAGGACTCAGCTCTCACTTCCACCATGTGTCCCCATCCATTCAGGTTGTCAGGCTGGGCAGCAAGCAGCTCCATTGCTGAGCCTTGCTCCCTCACTTTTTGCTTGTTTGCTTGCTTTTGAAGCTCTGACTTTCATAGGGATGATTTAGAGTCTGCAAGGAAGTTCTGACTTCCCGAAACTTTTCCAGTGCAGACTCAGTGGCAATTATTATCCTTGTCTTGGGGTACTTATAACATCTCTGCCTTCATTTAACTAAGTGTGAACTTGTAAGATTCTGCAGGGGAACCTAAATATTGTGTCTTCTGTTTTGTTCTTTCAATTAGACTGATAAACACACATCTACCAGGATTTATGATTTGTCAATATAAGCTTTCAGGCATGCCTTCAAAAGGTGCTGTTTTAAGCAAATTACAACAACCACAACAATTCATATTTCAGTACCTAAGGTCAGTGTTAATCATAAACCTCTACCAGCTTTAATTCTCAAAAATTATTTTAAAAGTCCACTATTATTTAATTCAGCATCACAGAATTTTTCCAAACATAGGCAAAATAAAGTATATACCAGAGAATGAGACACAGGCAAGGGGCTTTGTATGAATCTTAGACTAATCTGATCTAAATAGCAAGTGCAGGCCTGCCAGGGCTACATAGGAAGACTGAAACTCCAGGTTCTAGGAATGGGACACTTCCCCCAAATAATAAAGGCTATTGTCACTGATGTGGCTTGCATCCTAAACCTGGAAGATAAGCCTATTGCTTTGGTTGCAGGATTTGGAGAAATAAGGCTAGGACTGAATGTCCTCTCCCTTTAAGTTAGTCAACTTTCTGATCGGAGTTAAGGCCTGCTCCACAGACGGGACTTCACTTCAGGTACTGGCAACTTTGACACAGTCTGCTGTCATGAAATTCACAGGCCTCAGTGGAGAAATGACTGTTAATGCATAAATAAATGCCTATGATATGTTGGCTAAGGTGCTTCCCAGTGTGTGTATTCACGACCATGGTATATTCACGACATGCTGGTGTTGTTCTTTGGATCGCTTTTTTTTTCTTGTCACCTGCATTTTCATCACTTGTATTTCATGACAAATGAATTACCACCAAGAATCACTACTATCCACACTCAGGAAATGGGGGCAAACATAGAGACACAATGGTTCAGGGCTGCTCTAGAATTAGACATTCAACTCAGAAGACTATCACCTCCTCCCAAGCTCAGGGGACATTGTGAAAGAGGGAACTGAGAAAGTTCAAAGCTGCAGGGAGGGTTGAAGTGCTCTGTATCAATGTCCTTCAAGATAAAACATCCCATCTTTGAGGAAAGCTCATTAAAACCAGGATGTTCTGCTGGGCATTGGTGGCACACTCCTTTAATCCCAGTACTCGGGAGGCAGAGGCAGGCAGATCTCTGTGAGTTCGAGGCCAGCCTGGTCTCCAGAGCCATTGCCAGGATAGGCTCCAAAGCTACACAGAGAAACCCTGTCTCAAAAGACCAAAAAAAAAAAAACCCCAGTATGTTCTAAGAGGAGGTGCAAAGATTCCATCCTGCAGGGAAGCTGCTGATCTTAAGAAGCAATCCTTCTCTTCAAGAAGTCCCTGAAGTTTACCAGATTCTCTAGGCCCTCCCTCCTCAAGCTTATATAAGCAGTAAGAAGTCCTGGGACTCTACAATCTGCAGTCTGCCTCCTAGTTGTGCTGTGTTTTCTGGGTTTCCAGCTTTTGTGATCCATTATTCATGATGAGGTTGGCATATCCCGTAGATTATATGGAAATATGATGTATGGGGATATTGGAAGTGAGTATTCTGGAAATGTCCACCAGGTAGGTTTGTTACAAACATACTCACATACAACATAATTTTATGTAAAAATAAAATATTGAATCCACATGTCTCTTTCAAGTATTTCTAGTATTAGTTAACCCTCCTCTATCTCATTCAATATTGTTCTCCTTCTCCTCTCCTCAGTTTAATGTCCTTCCCCAGTTTTACCATTTCTGCTTCATATTACTAGTGTCTGTGGTGATATTTTGTTTATGACCTAACAAATTAAGCTTGCTTGAAGATCAGAGTGTAAAGCACTCCACAATAGTCAGCCATACAGGCCATGCAGTGGTGGCACACACCTTCAATCCTAGCAGCCACAGTAGTTAGCCACGAGGCCAGGCAGTGGTGGCACAGGGTTTTAATATCAGCACTTGAGAGGAATATAAGATGGAAGGAGATGGGAGTCAGTCTGCAGTCACACTGAGGGCAAGGTCAGGTAGAGGTATGAATTCTCTAGTGGTTGCCTACTTTGCTTTTTCTGATTTTCAGCTTGAATAAACCCCAATATCTTTCTCTGAGTTTTTATTATTCTTGCTATGCCTGGTGCCCAACTTTTGGGGTACAAATTCATGAAAAAGCTTGTGGCTTTGGGAGCAGACTCCCACTGGAATCACTCCCATATAGCTAAGTTTTCTTTTGTTTCTTTTCCCCCAAGCCTCTGAATGAGTTTGGGATTTGTAGCCTCTCTAAAACAGTCTCTACCTGCCACATAAACTACAGAAACACCTGGGCTTCAAATGTATTCTAAACCATCTGGCTTTGCATTCAGGCTGTTCTTGCCACCCACAATCCCGTTTGCACTATTTCAGACACCTGACTCTCTCTCTCTCTCTCTCTCT